AGAAAGAAAGAAAGAAAGAAAGAAAGAAAGAAAGAAAGAAAGAAAGATGAAGTAAGGAAGAGAGAAAGAAAGAAAAAGAAAGATGAAGTAAGGAAGAGAGAAAGAAAGAAAGAAAAAGAAAAAGAAAGAAAAAGATGAAGTAAGGAAGAGAGAAAGAAAGAAAGAAAAAGAAAAAGAAAGAAAGAAAGACGAAGGAAGGAAGAGAGAAAGAAAAAGAAAGAAAGAAAATCATATATGAGGATAGCTTATTTCATAAGTTTACAAAATGAGATAATTTGTTGAAGATTGTCTGTCTGTCTATCTATCTATCTATCTATCTATCTATCTATCTATCTATCTATCTATCTATCAAAACTCTACCACAGTAAAGTGAAAAAAACAGCCATATTGGAAAGGCAAATATGCTGTAAATAATTAGGCTGTTTTTTTCACTTTACTGAAGTGACAAACATGAGAAGAGATCTGTTGGATCTGGCCAAAGAGCTATCTAGGACATCATTTAGTATTTTCAGTGTTTGCCCAAGCTACTGAAGACTGACACATATTCATGATCTTAAGATTGTGATACTCTGCCGTAGTGATACTTAAAGGAACTAATATTTCTCTATCATCATTCTGCTATCACTATCCGGGATTAGAGAGATAATGGATATTAATACTCAAGAAAGGCTATATGCCAACCTTTAATATTGTAAGTTGGCTAGATCAGGTTAAGCTCAAGAGCAGAATACTATAGATAAGTACTCAAAAGTAAGTCTTACTAAGCTTAATGGGACTTTTCCTAAGGTTAGTTTGTCCTGAGCATCACAGTTGCACAGAAGACAGGATTCTCCCTCTCTGCTTTATTCCACTGCCTGCAACATAGCTTGCTTGATTTGTAGCTTCCTCTCTGCACACATTCCTACAATTTCATTTAAAAATTGTATGTCTAATTACCATGCAGCAAAGCAAATACACTTAAGAGTATGGTTTTTAAAATATATCTTTATCAATACTCTAAACAAGTCAGAAGTCAAATACTTGACTAAACTATTTTTAGGGATTTCTTTTTCCTTTCTTTTTCCCCTTTTTCTCCCTTTTTAAGTATTTGTAAATAACAATACAGTGGAGATTTTGGTCCTAAGCTCAAAGATTTATAGTCTTCTTGAAATAATACAATTCTTTCTGTTATGATCAATCTTCCATGAATGTTATAATGAGAATTAATTGTATAACTTTAGTGATTTTCATTGTCCCCTTATTGATATCTTCTAAATTTATATCTTTGTTTTAAAGAAATAAAAGAAAAAAGAATAATTATTTGTAAAATTCAAATGAGTTATTTTAGATCTATTTGAAAAGATGCATACTGTTAACGGTTAATGATAACAGTTAAATTGGAATCCATAAGGAAAATGAGATTGTTTATGAAAACAGTCTGAGCCAATAAATTCTGCATATACTGAAGAAAAAATAAGTCTCAGTTGAGGAAAAACTTACTTCCAAGTAAAGTTGCAGTGAACTATACTTCAGGATTTTCTCCTCACAGAAAAAAAAAGAATCTCTCAATTGTTGTGGAGACTTGCTGGCTATTTTTCTTTTTCCTTTATTTCCTTTATTAGTAAGTAGGTCACCTATTCTTGAAGCAGGATAGGAAGAGGTTCACTTTTAAAATTTTAAACCTTTCAACTTTGGTATTGGAGAAGATTCTTGAGAATACTTCATCTTCAACCACAACAATACAAGAGCACACAATAGATACCAACTCAAGGTAAACCGCACCAAACTTGATTGCAGGAATTACGACTTCAGCAACAGAGTGGTCAATGTCTGGAGTACTCTACCTGACTCTGTGGTTTCTTCCCCAAACCCCAAAAACTTTAACCTTAGACTGTCTACTATTGACCTCACCCCTTTCCTAAGAGATCTATAGGGAACATGTATAAGCGCACCAACGTGCCTACCGTCCCTGTCCTAGTTTTTTTTTTCTTATTCGTATCCATTTCATGTATTCATAACCATGTTTATACTTACACCTGTTATCTAATAATCACTTGACAAAATAAAATAAATAAATAAAATAAAGAATATGGTGGACAGTCAAGAAACAAACTGATGGATCATCTTATGGATCAATCCAGAAATCTCACCAGGGGCACAAATGACCAGGCTTGTGTTATCCTGTTTCAGACACATTATATGATGAATGAACTCTCTGGAGAAAGCTCTAATGCTGGCAAAAGTGGAAGGACAGAGGAGACAAGGATGACTAGCCGTAGGGTAGGTGGCCTCAGAAATAGTCATATTGAGTACACTGTTAGAAGACCTAAAAGACCAGGTGATGGATGCATTGTCATGGAGACAAGGGAACTGAAAACAATTTGATGGCACATAATTAACCAATCAATCAATCCTGAAGGCTTTGAGCTGCTAACAGTCAAAAACATCTTCAAAAGAAGCTCTCCAATGATAAATTATCTGCCCAAAGCAGTGATTTTTTTAAAAAAAAAAAAAATCCCAACAGCCTTGTAAAGAACAAAGCTGGAGGAAGAACCCTGCAGGGAAAGGCAGCCACTGCCATCTCATTTAAGACTTTTGATAAAGACCTACCATTGATTTTCTTCCCTCTTTGCCACCAGCTAGTGTTATCTGCAAGTTAGATACGATGGCCTTAGTAAAGAACCGAAAAAGCTCTTTGACGATGGAAGCAAGAAAAGAAAGAATAGCAAATGGGTAGATTGGAACAAGGTTGTGGGGGCTGAAGTTCTATGTATTGTATAAACATTCCCGGAAGCTACATTAAGCAAAATCCATAAATGGGGCTCATTATTTTCTTATTCTAACTCTAAATGAGCTACTTTGCATAAATCTCCTTCCCTTCCCATCATCGACAGATTTTTCTTCCTTTCTCAATAATTCATAGTTGTACGTGAAAATGTCACGAGAGCTTCTTGCACGTATCTCTTACTGCCTTCTGGTTTCCCTCCGTAGCCTTATTTGCCCTCTCACATAGAGCCTTATTTGCCCTCCAAGTTCAATGTGGGACTCGACGAAAGGTAACATTTGCTTCAGAACAGACAGGAGCAGAACTGCAGTGTCAGAGAATAGGATCTATCAAGTCAAGAGACCCCGTTTAGGACAGAGGCACTTTTCTTGCATACATGATGATAGAGCTACATACATGGGTAGCTTTGGGGAAGAAAAGTGGGGGGGAGGTGACCTGATCAAAAGCCTTCGCAGAATGTCACTAAAGTATTAAAACTCCAACGAACAAGCTTGTTCATGAGAAAAATGAACCGAAATACGATACTTGCTGCCTTCTGTAGCTTACTATTTTTTTTCCCCTACTTCCCTTCTTTTAAAGACAAACAAAAGTTAATTCCAACATGCTTGAAGAAGACTGGATTGATATCAGCCCAGAAAAATAAAATCTCTGCGTTGCTGCAAATGATCCGAGAGGAAACCAATTGCTGAACTTTGTTAAATTGCACTTACCTGAACCATGGGCACACAAAAGGAGGGGCAGTTTAATGACATCTAAGAACCTCATCACCACAGCCGGTGCTGCTGCTGCTGGATGTTTCGGATGTTTATAGATCACCTACTTCCATCGAAAACACAAAAATAATTCTAAACCATAACAGCTGGCAGGCTAGTTCCAGGGAGAAGAGATTTAAGCCTTCTCTTGTACCACTGTGAAGGTTTTTAGAATACGCTTCATTGATTTTCAGTCAGCTGTCAGAAGCTGCACACAAGAATCCTACAAAAGGAAACAACCGCCTGGGTCCTAAATTCTGCCTTCTTGTTTGAGCAATAGCTGGGATTCTTTTGAAAGGCAAAGTTAAGCGAGTTCAAAGAAGAACCTTAGGCGACAGCAATCCAATGCATGCTTGGTTTGAATTATCCTCTGTATGATATAAAATAAAGTGTGAAAAATCTAGATGGCCTGTAGATAGTGGGAGGGAGAGGGAGGGGGGGTTGTATACAAGAGTGGGATTCAATTTTTTTTAACAACCGGTTCTGTGGGCGTGGCTTAGTTGGTGGGCGTGGCTTGGTGGTCATGTGACTGGCTCGGCGTGGCCAACTCAACATCACTCACATCGAGGCACGCATCTCCTCGTTTGGCCTCTTGTGACTGTGGGGTTGCTGCAATAGTCATAAGTGTGAAAAATGGTCATAAGTCACTTTTTTCAGTGCCATTGTCACTTTGAATGGTCACTCCACACAAGCAAAGTACCAGCAAAGGAGGGAAAAATAACTCCAGAAAAGTTCCTGAGACAGGAAGTCTAGACCTGCCAAGAATGTAATAAGGGTTAATGGAGAGGCAGTTTCTGTGAGCAACACCAGAATGTTTCCTTCCTGCCTTCCTTACAGGATTAGGCCAGTAATTTCCTCTAACAACCGGTTCTCTGAACTGCTTAGAATATTAACAACCGGTTCTAGCGAATAGGTGTGAACGTGTAGAATCCCACCCCGGTTGTATACCTGCTGACATCTAATGATCATCCAGATTTTTGCAGCCCATTTATGGAAGCCACAGAGCAGCAGTTCCCCACCTGTTCAGCTTATTGACCTCTTGAAAAAGTTTCAGATTGTTCATCAACTCCCAAACATTTATTTATGTGAATATAATTTAATAAATACCACTTTAACTAATAATACTATAAATAAAAGTAATAATAATATTATGAATATATAATAATAATATGATACAGCAGCAACCCATATCAACTATCAGCGCCAGTCAATGATATTTGTGATACATTTTTAAATGTTCAGTTGACTGAGTTTCATGTTTAATGAGTAAAAAGAGATAATGTGTAATAAGAACACCCCAGACTTAACAATTGTTGGTAAGAAAGACAAATAAGCCTAGATAGTAGATGTGGCTGTACTGGAGCAGAAGAGAAGAGAAAGAACTGGAGAAGATAACAAAATACAAAGACCTGCAAACAGAAATAGAACGACTGTGACAAAAGAAAGCAAAGGTATTACCAATAGTCCTACCTAGGTGCTTTAGATGCACCACTTGAATACCATCGGCATCGACAAATTTACCATCGGTCAATTGCAAAAGGCAGCTTTATTCAGGATAGCTTACATCCTGCGATACCTCTAACACCATCAAACATCAAACATCAACATCTGCCTATCCCAGATCTTTGGGATGGATTTGATAGATGGATAAAAAATGCCAAATCCAATTGGAACATCTGGCTGATTGTGCAATGAATCAAAATAATAATCTGACTATCCCAGGTCGCTGGGAAGAACTTGATAGGCAGATAAAAATGCCAAAACCAGTCTAAACATCTGGCTTACTGTGCATAATAATGTCAACTCAAGGCCACACTCACTGCAATGACCAACCAACCCTGTCTTACAACTATGGCTATCTTATGGCTATCTACCTTCAGGAATAGGGACTGGTGTGGAGCTCTTCAGAGACCCTAAAAGATTAAATTACCTCAAACCACCTTCCATCATTTATTGATCATCGATTGACACCCCCCCAGCCATTTATTGACCTTTTGACACCCAGCCATTTATTGGCTCATTAAATAGTCCCATCAACCATTGAGGGTTGATATTAACCACTTTGGGTGATCCTGCCATAGAAGGACATAAACACTTGGAGCTATCTGCATTTGATGGCATTGAATAACGTCTCATGAGATCTTGAGGGGATCTCCTCAGAGAAAAAAAACAACAACCCTGAAGGTTGGCATAATATAAATCTTCCAAAAGAGCTGAATTGCCAGACCCTTAAGAGGATGTTTACAAGGAAGTCCTCAGAAGGATCTATAGAACGCTCCTCTCTAGCACTGATAACTTCTTGGTTTATTATTTATTTATTGAATGTATTTGCCACCTACTATCAAAGGGACTCTGGGTGGCTCATAGCACTAAAATATTAAAATCCTAGCAGATAAATATTTTAAAAATGATTTTAAAAAATAGAAATCACAGTCAACATAAAATTATAGCTAAAGATGGGGAGGGAGGTAACAGGAACCCTGGGGAGAGGGGAGAAGTGGGAATGCCTCTTAATTCATCAACCACCTCCAGTCTGATGCTCTCCCACTGCAGCCCCAAGCCATCTGGCAGAATCAGGTCTTCAAGTTCTTGTGGAAGGTCAGAAGGATGGAAGCCAATCTCACCTTGGTTTCTAAATATGCCAGGTATATATATCAGAGCATCATTGCCAGAATCAACCGGGGAAACCTATGAACTGGTTCCTAAAATTCAATTCAATTCCTTGTTTCGTTTTATTGTAAATGTTATCAGGTCATCTTGACTTACAACCATTCAAAGTTACAACACTGAAAAACGATACCTACAACCAGTTCTCACACTTACAACCAACACAACATCCCCACAATCATGTGATCCAAATTTAGTTGCTTGGCATCTAATGTATATTTACAATAGTTGCATTATGAGCCACAGTGCAGGCTACTTCTGTTGACCGCCCGCTGCCTGCAATTTGACAGTTCACGTCTCACCAGGCTCAAGGTTGACTCAGCCTTCCATCCTTCCGAGATGGGTAAAATGAGGATCCAAATTGTTGGGGGCAATAGGCTGACTCTGTAAACTGCTTAGAGAGGGCTGTAAAGCACTGTAAAGTAATATATAAGTCTAAGTGCTCTTGCTATTGTCCTAGGGTCATGTGATCGCTATTTATGACCTTCCCAGCCCTTGACAAGCAGTCAATGGGGGAAGCCGGATTCACTTAAAGACCTCATGATTCACTTAACAACTGAAGTGATGCTAATAACCATGGCAAAAAAGCTGTAAAATTAAGTGACTCACTTAATAACCACCTTGCTGAACAACAGAAATGCTGGTCTTAGCTGTGGTCGTAAGTCAAGGACTACCTGTAGATCTTAATATATTGTATTATTTCAATGCAGCTTTCATTACAAATATATATTTTTAAATTAACTTTATAGGCTGCCCATTTCAGTGTTGCAGTGGCTTTGGGTGGCTTATGAAATGATATATATATTTATGTAATGCGCTTATAAATTATGAACCTTTGATTATTTAGCAGCATATACTAGTGACAATAAGAAGGAAAAATAAAAATATATCAATATTAATTGTATATTAAGATACCACAAGCATAAAATTAATGAACTTTACAGTCAAAATTCAGTATAATATTTTTTTAAAAGGACAACTGCATGTCATATTATATTAGTAGTTATGTGACAATTGTTTTGGTCAGAAATGAATTAGTTACTATTGAGATCTCTGTTCTGTTATTACTTAGGATATATATTTAATTATACACCAATTTTTAACATCTCTCAGATGAAAACAGGGATATAATTGTAACCTGTGTATAAGTATCACTCCCAATCCAATATATGAGCCCCTGTGTTATACATCAGCTGTATTTGTGTATTTTACAATGCCTAAAAGGTAGGCGTGTTTATTTGATTTTTGAAGAAAAAAACCTGTCCTGTATCACTGAACCTACCGTGTTTCTCACAAAATAAGGCTGGGCCTTATTTTTTTTTGACCCCCCAAAAAACGGCTAGGCCGTCTTTTCAGGGGTGATTTAATTCCCCCCCTTGCATCCTCGGGTGGGCGGGCAGCAACAGCTTGGATGTTGACCTCGGTGTTGGTGGGGCACTTTGTATCGGGAGACCTTCCGCCACCGTTGCTTTCCCTTCTCCCTTGCTGCCGCGGTGTTTAGAGCAATGCCGTGGCATTTGGCACAGCCACGCATGGCCAGCCAGGGCTCCTCCCTGCAACCGGAGCCCGGTGGAGACACTCAGCTTCAGGCGCTCCTGTCGCCGCTTTCCCTTTCCCTTTGAAGGTAAAGCCAATTATTTTAAAAACGACACCCTACTACAACAAAGACTTCCCTGCCCGAGAGGGCAGCCCAACCCCACGTGGGAAGGCAAATCTCCCGGGGCCGCAGTGCAGGATCGGCCCACCTCGGGAGAAGTGCCCAGCCACCATCCCTGCCTGGTGCCGGGCAGAGTGTGAAGAGCTTCGCCTGGGGCGCCCAGTGCAGCTGACAGGCGGGCCCTCCTGCCCGGCAGCAGAGCTCTCACCAAGGCATGAGCACCTCCCCACCGGACTCTCCGCTCATCCCGCCAGGGCCACGCCAGAGCCATGCGGGCTGGGCAGAGCCAGGAAAGCAAGCCGCGGGTGCGCGCCCGCCTGCCAAGCAAAAGAGCCAGGCCGACCTGAGCTTGGCTTCCTTCCCAAGTCCCTCCAGCGCGAACCTGAAGGGGCCACTGGGAAAGGCTGCCCGAGGCAGTGATAGCACCCACCCGTCCATGGACAGGGAGGCGAGGTGATGGCAGCACTGCTTCCCTGGCCGGCGGAGAGAGCCCGAGGCTGCCCATCCTTTCCACCCCTCGCCCAGCCCGTCCCCATCCCCACGCATCTCCAAATGCGCCGGCAGCTCCAAACACTGCAGTGGAACGGGCATCAGGTAGAGGCGCTGACTCGGCGGGGCTCAGCTCAGAGGAGGATGTGGTGCAACCCATCGCCTTGCCTCCCTGTCCACGGATGGGTGGGCGCTATCAG